TGTTGACCAGGATGGTCTCGATCTTTTGACCTCGTGATCCACCCGCCTCGGCCTCCCAAAGTGCTGGGATTACAGGCGTGAGCCACCGCGCCCGGCACTTTCTTGAACCATATGAATCCTAGGCACTTAAAGTGCTTGCCAGCTAACTACAACATTTGGATCTGGAGCGATTTCTTTCTTTCTTTCTCTCTCTTTTTCTCTATCACCCCCCCATCTTTCTTTTTTGAAATGGAGTCTCTCTTTGTCACCCAGGCTGGAGTGTGGTAGCACAATCTCAGCTCCCTTCAACCTCCAACTCCCAGGTTCAAGCAATTCTTGTGCCTCAGTCTCCCAAGTAGCTGGAATTATAGGTGCCTGCCACCACACCTGGCTAATATTTGTATTTTTAGTAGAGACACGGTTTCACAATGTTGGCCAGGCTGGTCTGGAACTCCTGACCTCAAGTGATCTGCCCTCCTTGGACTCCCGAAAGTGTTGGGAATACAAGCGGAAACCACAGCACACAGCCAAGCTGGAGCTGTTTCTATTGTCTAATTTTTCCCTTGGTTTTCAGTCATGTAGACCTGTCTCTTGGCAGGAGTAGTGAATATTTATCAAATGCCAGACATTATGTATAAAAATTTGGAGGACCGGCACATGGTGTTTTCTTCTTCTAGAAAGAGTCACCCTTCTTTCTCTAGGCAGGCATTGTTGGGCAATCACTCAAGCCAATCAGAAGTTGGCAGAGTTGTGTTTGCAGCGTAGTCCTGTCCCCTCAGACTCCCAGAGTTCGGTATTGAGAGCTAGATGCTTTCTCTGAGGTCTCTGTCCCTGGCAGGTCACAAACCCCAATCTTTTTTGGGTAGTTTGCTGAAAAACTCCACTCTGCTTTTCAGAGGCCTTTGCTTAGGTTTTTTAATCCACTGCCCCATATAGCACCAGTATTTTGTCAGCGTCTTTTTTGTGCTTAAAGCCCTCCAAGTGTCTGCCACAATCTCTATGGGCAGATGTTCTCTGCTCCAGATAAGTCTCCATTATTGGCCTTCTGTCTGCAAAGAATCGGAAATTGCCCCTGGGATGATAGGTGAGCTGGCCACTGTCAGGTTCTTCGCTCTCTGGAGTCAGCATCTCGTCTCTCATTCTGGCTGCCAGAGCAGCTCTCTGCTTCCTTCAAATGGACGCCTTCTGCATTTTAGCCAGCGCTCTGCCAATGGCTGCCCCATTCTGCCCAGAAGTCCTTTGTTACTTATTTAGAATGTTCTAGATTGTACAGTCAGATTTTCATTTTTAAGGATCTGCAGCAATAACTCATTCCAAATTACATTTTGTATCTATATCTAAATAAACTTAGGTTATCATAATATTCAATGCCCACTTAGATCTCCCAGAAATAGCGTATATTTTACTACTGTGCTTTGGTAATCTTTTATCTTGATTGCCATAACCATGATCGCTGTACCCCAAGGCCTTTTCCACTATCATATGACAAATATGTTCCTCGTTATTGGTAAAATGAAAGCCCGTGTGATAATGAAATATATTGGTTAGCAGCATTTGGGGAGATTAAATTGTTGGTAAAGTAAGTAAGACAATTTTTTCCATTCTCATCATAAGTTTTGGACCATTAGGCTTTTAAACAAACATTATTGTTGAATCATGGTGACCAGTTTGCTCGTTAAGAAGGCAGAGGCCAGCTGGTATATTCAGTTGAGTGTTCTGCTCTTTATTGGATTGTTGTGGCTCATATTTTCAAGCCAGAAATTTTTCAGTTCATCCAACAATCGTTAAGATCAGAGAAACTGATTCAGGCCCAAATTCTGGCAGACATCTTGATGAACATGCCAGCTTATTAATTTATAATGGTCAATACCAAGAATGCTATCTGGGATACAGCCTTCCTCTTATCAAGGTATCTGGAAAACAAAGACATCAGAAAACCATTCATGGTGCATGAATATAAATAAAAAAATGAACACTTTAGTGGCCTATTTAGATTGGATTATGGCAAAAATTTTCCATGTCCTACACAGAAGTAAAATGAGTACTGTGTTTACTAATTAGACCTCAGGAAAATTATTCCATCTTTTTGAGTGGCCAAAATATCCATCTGCCAATACATAATCACTTTTTGCAGATCCTACTAGCTAGACATCTACGAATCCTGCTACCGCCCTCCCTTCTCTAGACCTCACTCAGACCACCATATCCTTCTGATTAAAGTTGTCATTGGCGTGCTGCAGTTTCAAAATTTATATTAAATTATATAATACATTACATTCTGATTATTTCTTTAAAATATGTGAAATATAACTGTAATATAAAAGTATAATTTGGGATGGATTCTACTGTAGTTGTCTAATATCTTTCATAATTTATTATGTATCATTAATAATGAGGGAATATATAATTTTCTTACTAGATTCTTATGTTCATGGGGGAAATCTCATTTAGGACCTACAAATATATATTTTTGGAATGAATTGCTTTGGAATGAATTATACTTTGTAATGTATAAAATAATACAAAAATATGTGTGCATTATCAATATCATTTAAAATAATTTTAAAATAAAATGGCCTATCTAAAATATCCTGTTAAATATTTATGATACTGTCAATTACTATCATTGAGATGATAGAAATTTGAAGATTTATTGAGAAAGGCTGGCTATTAAAGAAAAAAAAAAACATAATAACTGTTTTGCCAAGTGAATGTTCCTGTGCATTTTTAAAATGTTTCTATAGAAATAAAGCATGCGTAGTCTTACTCTTTGTTCCAATTATCATTTTACCTCTAATTGAACTTCCCCTTGTTTAAAACCGTTGTTTAAAAGATTTCAAACCAGTCAGGCAGAACACGTGAAAGCTGGGAAGTGAAATCTTTGATTTTAGATACTGTGCTTCCGGCACATGATGTAGTTCTGAATACAGAGATACAGACACATTTCAGTTCTCACAAAATGGAGGAACTTGAGAAACTGCAAAGGACATTTAAAATAATTGTAACAATGGGATAGTTTAAAGAAAAAAAACCCAGCAGTCTAGAACAATCCACCCCTCCTATTCCTCAATACTGATATTTTGACATATTCTAATGAATGTGTTAAAATAAAAGATGGAGTATACGGTACTTAAAATGTGTATAAGTATACTTAGACACAGTTTTTAAATCTTGTCTTCAAAAATTCTGGATCCCCTGCTCATTAAATCATCTTTCAAACCCCAGGAAATAACCAGACCCTAAGTAGGAATTCAAAATTCAAACATCTCTTGGGTCTTGAAGAACTTGGGACCTTATGTCTAAGCACAGTATATGGGTTTCACGAGCTGAACTGTGCCTCTGTGCAGGGTGTTCAGACTTGTCTGGATATTAGAACTGTGCTCTGCTTTGGGTGTAATGAAGAATTTGCCTCATAAAATAGTTATATACAACAAAAAGCTGTATGTCTTGGGAAAGGAAAGCTTTTATATGAATTATTAACTTAACAGGCAAAAGAGAACGACATATTAAATGTGAAAAATGAAGTGTACATCATGAAGAACACCATGGAAACCCAGAAAGCGGAAAGGGAAGGACTTAGCCTCCTTCGGCTGGCATGGCAGCTTAAAGCCACAGAAAGCAAGCCTGTAAAACAGCAGTGGGTGGCATTCAAAGAGCAGCTTAAAAAGGTGAGGCAAGGAACGATGGAATGTGAAAAGGAATGAAATTCAGACACGGGCTAACACAAGCGAACCTTGAAAACACTAGCTAAGTGAAATAAGCCAAACGCAAAAGGATAAGCATTGTATGATTCCACTCAGATGAGGTCCCTGTAGTCAAACTCATAGAGGCAGAAAGCAGAATGTAGGTTGCCAGGGGCTGGGGGAGACAGGGAGGGAATGGGGAGTTGTTTAATGGGAACAGAGTTTCTGTTTGGGATGATGAACGAGTTCTGGAGATGGATGGTGGTGATGGTTATTGTACAATCATGTGAACGTGTTAAATATCATGCCTCTGAACTGTACACCCAAAATGATAAACATGGTGACTTTTGTTTTGTATATTTTACCAGAATAAAACCAAAAAAGATAACAGAAACCAAGGGGCTGTACTTTTACTCCTTGGTGGTTTAGAACCCTGAGCATACGCCACACCGTGAATGTTTTCATGGTAGTTGAAAAGTTTGATCACACTGTGTCATTACTAGAAGGATCACATTTGCTGGAGATGTCAAAGAAAACTCATGTGTAACTGTCCAATGTTTCTTTCAGACTACTCACAACTTAAAACTTCTTCAGGAAGTACTTATGCCTGTGTCTGCACTTGACCTTGGAGGGAGCCTCCAGTCCGTTTTAGACCTACAACAGAAATGGAATGACATGAAGCCTCAGTTCCAGGTGAAGAAATGTATGGCTGGGTTTGGGTGAATGGAAAAAATATTTAAAACTGTTTCGTTGCAGTTTACCTAATTAATTGTAATAGGCTGGTGAATTTCTTTTTAAACAAAAGTATTGCTTGTCTGAAAAATTTCTTTTTAAACAAAAGTATTGCTTGTCTGAAAATCCACTGTAGAGACACATTTTTCTTACTATTTTCCTGCATTCTTTTGAATTTGATGATATACCAACATTCAGGCTACAAAATGTTCTAAATAGATTTTTATCTTAGATTTTGAAAATTCACATGGCTAATTAAACTACTAATACATTTATCCTATATGTTCACACCAATTCTTTTTCTGAGGAGTACAGAGGTGTTTTAAATTGAGACATCTCAGAACAAGGATGGGCAACCTTGGATCCAGAGCCTTTACTGCCCTGGGTGACCACTGTTATGTCACTGTCTCCACCCACCAGCACCCCAGGCTTCTACCTCACCCTAGGAATTTTGCTGTGCTCTCCATGCCTCACAAAGCCTCAGGATGTGAGCGATAAAATGATGAGTCATGTTCCTGGCCCCTGACTGCTTAACATAGTCCCTATTTCCCTACCTCCTGCCTCTCCAAAACATGACACAACTGCCAAAAATTGCCCTCTGCCAGTCACATTATACTTCTGCCTGGATTCTTATGCTTTGCTGCAGAATTTAAATACCCTTGTTTTTAGCTGTGACTACTTCATAAATGTGGACTTTCAAGAATCCCAGAATTAGAAGATTGAAGACTCCTTTAGGGAATATCTAATTTTAGGTTCCTTTAAGGCAAAACCAATGTAAGATATAACTACCGTGCCCACTACACACAAACACACCCACCCTTGTAACCCACAGCACACTCTTTAAAACTCTCAGCAAATGTGACTGACCTACATTAGGTTCTTTAATACACCTTGTGTTATCTGCTTACATGCATTTTGTTTGTGTGCACGTCTGCATGTACATGTAAGTTCCTCTAAATCAGTATCATCACCACACTTATTTAGCCCTGTCACTGTGATGCACATATATTTGAGCCCAAATGCTTGATTTAAACTTGAAGACCCTTTTTAGGTCACTCTTCTGAAAATTATGTTTTTAGTCTAAATCATTTCCATTACTTTTACATTTCATATAAAAGATCTCTTAAAACTATAGCAGCATTCTCTCTTTCTCTCTCTCTCTCTCTCTCTCTCTCTTTCTCTCTCTCTCTCTCTCTCTCTCTTTCTCTCTCTCTCTCTCTCTCTCGTCTCTCTCCTGTCTCATTTTGAGACAGAGTCTTACTCTTGCCCAGGCTGGAGTGCAGTGGTACAATTTTGACTTGCTGCAGCCTCCGCCTCCCAGGTTCAAGTAATTCTCATGTCTCATCCTCTGGGGTAGCTGGGATTACAGGTGTGCACTACCACACCAGGCTAATTGTTGTATTTTTAGTAGAGACAGGGTTTTGCCATGTGGGCCAGGCTGGTCTTGAACTCCTGACCTCAGGTAGTCCACCCTCCTTGGCCTCCAAAAGTGCTGGGATTACAGGCATGAGCCACCACGCCTGGCCTATAGTAGCATTCTCTTTAAAGTAGGCCCCCTTTGCAAATTCTATTCCAGAATCTGCATTCCTATAAGGGATATCTGAGCAATGCTGGGTAAAAAGGAAGGAAGTTTATCCCTCCCTACATGTGATGGCTATTTGTGGCTCATGGGATGACTGCTTTTGAAGCAACGTATCTCCTGTGCTATTCAGCTGGTGGTTCATTCTGATCATTCTTTTATCACAGAGCACAAGTTATTCCCCTGATATATTTTTACACTCATCTTCTCATGGTGTTTTTACTATACCACTGGATTCTAGTCTGTATTAAATATCAGAGATAATCATGGGGCTGCATAAAATATCTAAAATACATTTACTTAACAGATGAATAGAGTATTCGGTATGCCACAGAAATACATGACTTTGTTTTTCCACCTAGCTTTGAAACATTTTTGCATTGTTCATGTTATTTTTTGTAAATTTCTGAGATGAATTTGGAAAAATGTATCTCTATCATCCAGCACAATGCTCAAATTTTTTGGAGGGTGGGGGCACTCGTAACAAGTATGTGTTAAGAAATGAAAGAGTGATGCATTGTTTAGACCTTCATATTGTCTATTGTAAAGTAAAAAGATTCTTTAAAAGCTAGATTTTATTTTTATTGCTTTCAATGTTTTAGCAATTGAATGATGAGGTTCATTACATTATGAAAGAATCAGAGGAGTTAACTGGCAAAGGAGCCCCTGTAAAAGAGAAGTCTCAGCAACTGAAGGACCTTATTCACCTCCATCAGAAACAGAGAGAGAGAATCCAGGATTACGAGGATGTCCTGTACAAGGTGGTCCAGTTCCATCAAGTTAAGGAAGAGGTAAGGCTTAGAAGGGATGTCTGAAAAATCCTGAGTTTTAAACTATGCGATTAAAAATGAGTTATTATATAATAAATAAAGGCCAAATTGTGTCTTCTAAGAAGTTCACACAATCTGGCCCCTAACTTTTCTCTCACTATGTTCCTATTCTCCCTTTTGTTCCAGCCATACTGAGCTCTTTGTTCCTCAGAGATGGTGCACACATACTAACTCCGAGCCTGCACTCTCAGGCTGCCATTATTTGACAAGTCTTTCCCCTCCCTCTTATCTAAATCCTGTACCTCCTTCCAACAATCCTACTTCACTTGGAGTGATTTCTCTCTCTTCAAAAATCCTAGAGCACATTGTTTATTCCATATATCTTGCATTTTAATATCTTGATTCTTAATTACTTTAATAGAACTGACAACATTAGTGGTTCAATTTCACCACCATTGGATTTGCAGCATTCTAACACTTATTTGACTAACACCAACAATTTATAGATGGGCTTGGCAGCATTTTGACCAGCTAACAAAATATGCTATAGAAATTAAGATTTAAAAAATCTGTCTTCATATAAAACCCAGGTTAATTGTTAATGCCCCAATTTCCAGCTGAGACGTCTCATCAAATCAAGAGAACTAGAGTTTCTAGAGCAGCCAAAGGACCTGGATGATGCTCACGACGTGCAGATTCATCTCCGGTGCTCTCAGGAAAAGCAAGCACATGTAGACCATCTCTACCGACTGGCCCTTTCCTTAGGAGTGGACATCATCTCATCAGTGCAGCGGCCTGTAAGCATCATTTACATTTACATTATCTAATACGTTTAGACTCAGGTCCAGCTGGGGCTTGGGCTAGCATATGAAAGAAATCAGACAGATTGCTTAGTATATGTTAAATTTAAAAATAAATTAAACCGTTAGGATAGTCATTTGTTATTAGTTTCTACCGTTAACAAAAGAAAAAATATTAAGTAAAAAATCTGAATATAAAAGCCTTGTTGAATACCTGTTTTCTCATGAAAATTTTTCAAAAAAGAATATTTATATAGCAGATCCGTGTAGTCTGGTGTTGCAGTCAGTTTGTTGCCTTTGATGTGTGTCTAATGCAACTAAAAAACTAAAGCTTTAATTTTATTTAGCTTGCATTAATTTAAATATAAACTTAAAATTGATCCTCAGTTTAGTTATTGGAAAACTTTTAAATATGTTGGGAACAATTTGGATATGGGAATCAACTTTTGAAACTATAAGTTTTATAAAATTAAAATACAGATCAAATATTTCTGAGAGAAACTTAGCAACAAATGAGACATGATCAAAGTATGAAATACACACCTGATTTCAAAGAGGTAATATGAAAAGCAATCATATTAGTATTTTTTATGTTACTTACATGTTAAAATGATGATACTTGGACAGAGTTGGTTAAATCACCTATATTATAAAAATTATTTTGCTGTATCTTTTTATTTGATTGTTTGATATGACTCCTAGACAATTTTAAATTATCTGTGTGGTTCACATTCCATTTTTGTTGGACAATGCTGTTTTAGCATTGCAGATCTGGAACACCATCTAGATCTTAGAGTTCATCCAGGCGAGAGCTCTCATTTTATGGATGAAGAATTTGAGGCAAACAGAAATTCCCGCCTTACCCATAAAAGCCCAGAATGGAGGAGTCCAAGCATCCTGATTCTAGCTAGAGTTCATTGAATCTGCTTTATGCCACTGTCAGACTTCAAAAGAGGGGCCTAAAAGAGAAGGAAGTATTTCCAGATGAAATGTTTATCAATTATACACTGGACACTGATTCTTAAAAAAATTCTTCTTCAGTTTCAGCACGTTGGCTCACACCTGTAATCCCAGCACTTTAGGAGGCCAAGAAGTTCAAGAGCAGCCTGGCCAACATGGCGAAACCCTGTCTCTGCTAAAAATACAAAAATTAGCCAGGCATGGTATTGTGCACCTGTAATCCCAACTACTTGGGAGGCTGAGGCAGGAGAATTGTTTGAACCCAGGAGGCAGAAATTGGAGTGAGCCGAGATCCAGCCTTTGCACTCCAGCCAGGGTGACAGAGTGACTAAGACTCCATCTCAAAAAAAGCAAAACAAAACAAAAACAAAAACAAAAAATTCCTCCTCCAGATTTCTAACTTGAGGGAGAAAAGATTATGTTTATTCTAACAATAGGTATAACATTAGTAAAATCAAAATGGCCCATTTTATTTTAAAGTACACATAAGATATCCACTAAACTATTTGAAATGCAGTGAATCTAAAATATTTTTTTAAACTGAACGATATAGAAATATAAATTATGTTGTTAATGGAATTGGCTTTTTGTCAGGGAAGAGCTTTCTTTTTGAAGAGTTTTATTTTATTAGTACATTTATTTTTAAAAGAAAAACCAAGAAGTCTTACTTTGTGCAAATAATGTAAATTGTTCTCCAATCCTCTGGTCTTGGCCCTGGCAGCCCCGCTGTGCTGAGCCAAGATTGGAGCACTTGCATAATAAACCTGAGGTTAAGCTCAAGTTGACAGGAAAATTATAGTGCAGAAATCAAATGTTTCTAATGCATATTTTATGCCTTTTGAAGTAAAAATTATACCCTATAATGAATGGTGTCTCTGAGAAGTTGGGTGTGACGAGCGAATCTTCAACACTAGAGATTCGAGCTGGGAAATGTCTTTTCCATAATGTTTGACGTCTTCTTTCTGAAGTAATTATGTTCAAATATGTTTAAAGTAAAATAAATCAGGAGCCTATTTCTTTTTTTAAAAAAGTGTCATTTATGAGGTTCATAATGCAGGTAAATAGCCTACTTGTCTCACAGCTGTTTCATCCATTCTCCCTGTTACCCTCATTTGTCTCTTGTAGCCCTGCTCTAATGTTTCTGCAAAGTACCTACAGCAGCAGCTGGAGCTCCTTGAGGAGGACAGCATGAAGTGGCGGGCCAAAGCTGAGGAGTATGAACAGATCCTGTCCCGTAGTGTGGAGTACTGCACCACAAGAGACGAGATAAATGAGGTAGGGTGAGAGGGGTGACAACTGGCACATTGCCAGAAAGCTGTTTGAACCTGGTACGTGTCTAAATGTCTACATATGCACACACTCCCATGCACACACAGACACACAACAAATCAGGAGACTTTCTTCTCACTGATGTCTTTTAATCCACTGGGCAGTGACATCAGGGCTCTGGAAGTTTGAGTAAACTTCAAGCTCTCAAATTTGTTGAAGTCAGTATGATGTCAATGCACAGAAAAACCTGTAATTCAGTAGTACAGGTTTTTGGTTGCTTTCGTTTGATTTTGCTTCCCCCTTCACCCTCAAACCTGTATAGCAGTCATTTGCTTGAGTGGATATAGCTTTTTCAGTACACAGAGGAAGGAGTGACATTGACCAGTTTGTTGCAGCCAGCTCCAGCCTGCTGAGATTCTATTTAAGGGTCATTGACTCATGGTGAGTCAATGGTGCCAGGGAGCAGGCACTTTGCTTTGGAGCTACAAAGTATTATCACTGAAGTCAAGTGGCTGGTTTCATATTTATTCAAACTGAGTGGCTTTTATGGCAAAACAACTCTTTGAGAAAAAATAAATAACAGATTAAAGTGATCCTCTGCATCCATGTACTTCCACATGCTTAATTCTATCTCCTCCCCCTCAACTGTAACCAATCAACAACGCCTAGATACTCACTAAATCACAACCACCACCTGCTTCTAGCTAAGCTTTCCATTGAAAGGCTTACTTGTTCTAGGAGAAAATGACTCACAGATTGGGATAATGACAGTTCTAATTCTTGACTGGGAACTGATAGCAGAACACAAGGGCACCCATAATTCTAGATTTCTCTCCATTTAGAGCAAAATGTTTCTGAGCCCATTCAGCCATAAGTCCATTGCTAAAGAAACTGGTGGAAAAGGAGGTGGTAAACTTTCTTCGCTTTCTGTTTATGCCCAGTTTACATCATCCAGGCCCAGCAAGTATCAATTATTATCCAACAACATTAAAGCACAGATAGAAGTATAAATGACTCAACTTTAATTGTGGTCTGGCTCTGAAGTGGCCCTTCCTGCAGGCCACACTTTTACAGGCCATAGGCAGGTGGAGGATGGAGCATGGCTGGAAGGAAAACCAGAGGGGAAGATAGCAGGAGTGGCCACTTTGATCCCCTTCAACAGAAGAGAAGCAGAAACTGACATCTGATAATGATGTTCATTTCAGCAGTGTGCTACAGGACTGTAGAGTTTCTGCTCATAATTTGTGTTCCAGGGAGTTACTTTTGGCTAGAGAGGCATCAACTCTTCAGGGGTAAACCAGTAGTGTAACTTGCTCTCTACATGATAGAATGGCCACTTCAAGTTCCTGTACTGCTGCTTACACGTCCATCAAGCCTTGTTAAGGAAAACAATCAGAATACACTGGTCTCCCCAAGGCTACAAAATGTGGATTGATGGTTATGGAAACCATTCCTTTACAGTCTTTCCTTAAAGTTATCTTCTTTCTTCCTCCTTCTCTCTTCTTTCCTTCCCCCTCCTTCCTTTCCTCCTGCTTTCCCTCCTTCTCTTCCCCCTCCTGTACTTCCATCTGTAAACCTTTTCTTGCCAAAATCCTCCCTCTTTGCAGTGATGGTTGGACTCTACATTTGCTAAAGCACAAGTAGAGCAGGCTGAGGGGTTTTCCTAGCCCTCTCTGGCTTTGTTTCTATCTCCCTGAAGAGCTGTGACATTTATGAAGCTGGGTCTCCCTGTTCAGGCCCTTCCAGCAGGGTTTCTATTTACAGGGACTGCCTCATGATGAGACTCTGCTTGAAGCCAGTCAGCCGGGATGACAGGTGTTCCTTCCTGTCAACAGTAGGGACGCCCCAGGATTGTCTGTACCGTGTCAGGAATGAGCAACCAGATACATGACGGTTTGATTTAGGAATCAGATAGCACTTTAGCATGCTCTTACATTTTATGAGAGATATTCTTCCCATTTGCTTCCACTACAGATCCAGTTAATCTATCATATAACTTATAATTTCACATTTAAATGACCTTTGAGAACCTTGGGTCTTTGTCACTTCTCCCATTTTTTGTGGAGATACAATGAGTGTTCATACCCTGGACTTTCCCATCACAGGCCTAAGGGAAAATAATCAGAAGGAATATTTTCAGTGCCCCTTAGGAAAATAAAAATACATGAGTTGTAGTTTATATAGTGAATAGCAGAGCACAAACAGATGGCCAGTTTCCACAGTGATGATAATACTTGCTATCTAGACATTATTATTATTTTTATCACTATTAGTGTTTAGATATAGGTGCTTAAGACATATGTAAAATGAAATATGATATGTTACACTAATTTTTTCTTCATAAACAATTAGATAACATTCCAGAGGACTAAACCAAGCATAGAATTTGATTTTTAAAGTTGATTTTCAAACACAGTTTCACTTCCAATGTGCTTAAAGTGCTGTTAGAAAGTTCACAGACTCTGATTTGTAATAGATTTTGGAGAATGTCTAGTTCAACGTGTTCATTTTTCAGATGGGAAAACTGAACAGCGTATGACTTTTATGTTAGGAGTATGCTAGAGGACAACAGAGTTTCAGCTCAGGGTGTTCTAGGGAGTCACTTCAGGCCGCAGACCAATTGTTGGGCACCAACATGCTTATCATTTGTTACACTCAGAATTCACCACGTAATATTTCAGTGCCATTCAACCACTGCATGGTCTGATGTTAAATATCTTCTTTTTCTATGATTTCCTCTCCTATCCCTGTTTTCTGCTATATCTAAGATGTTTGTATGATCTAATATAATAGCACAGTTCATTTGGTTATTTCCACAAAAATACTTTTCTTGACTGTGCTGTAGCTAACTTATGTGGTCTTAACTGAACTGAAAGCCCTTAGAAAAGAATTCAATACCTCAAGGCAAAATAAGGTATTCTAACTGTAATTCTAAAAAATGTAATGTGATGCGCCTTAACGACAATGAATGGTAGTTTGTGCTCTATCTTTGAGTAAAAACCATTTTTTCATAATTTTGTATGAAGACATAGGAAATTGTAAGACCTCATTTTCTTCATGTCTACCTACTAGAAAAATAATCTTCAGACCACCACTTTGTGGTTTTTTTTCCTACCCAGTTCACACAAAGATACATTTGTATGCATGAATGTTGAATATAGTTCATATTTTTTCTTGCTTGACTGTATAAATAAGTTGTTCATACACAAAGCTCAATAGACATATTCTCTGCCATATTGCATGACACAGAAACATCATTCTTTACACATCTACATTTAGAAATGTAATAAGTTAATATCAGCATGTTTTCTTCTTTCAACCTGACCAAAAAAATTACCTTTACATTTACATGATCATAATGGAAATTTGTAACTAGAGGTTCATATTACAGATCACAAACAATTACTTTGCTGAAAAGAATAGTAATGACAGAATTGAATTGGTATCCATTTTCTCAAAATAAGTTTTCCACATAGAGCTTCCAGATAATTATTTTACTTGACCCTGAAATTTTCCACTGTAGCAACATCTTGCCCATCAGGAATTGTGCAGAAAAGGACTTAGTATATATGTTCCATGTATCAGTCACAAGTTCTAGTGGCACAAATTCTTTTTAAATTTGAATAAATCAGTCATATGAGTTCCAGGGATACAAGTTGATTAGTAGCAATAAATTAGAATACAGGAATAGTGTTGACACTATAGACACATACACAATAAAATGAAAACCGCCTGACATTGTATAGCTCTTTGCCACTGAAAAATTGACCATGAAATGAGAACGAGTTTGCATAGACAGCAAACCACCCAATGAGGTAGCACAATGTTATAGTACAGACAATAATTATTTTCCAGATTTATAACCTGAATTCATCATTTTCTTTAAAAAGGACTCCATTAGATTCATTCAATGAATGTGTTAATGTGGCTGCTGTGTACCAAGCCATAAGAATACAAATAACAATGGTGTATACCTGTAATCCTCACATTTTGGGATGCCAGAGTAGGAGGATCACTGGAGTCCAGGAGTTCAAGTACAGCCTGGGCAAGATGTGAGACCCTGCCTCTGCAAAAAGAAAAAAAAAAATTTTAAATTTTACTTTAAGCTCTGGGGTACATGTGCAGATCATGCAGGATTATTACATGGGTATACACATGCATGGTGGTTTGCTGCCTCCATCGCCCCATCACCTACATTAGGTATTTCTCCTAATGTTATCCCTCCTCAATGCACCCACCCCCTGCTATCTCTCCCCTACCCTCCACCCCCCAATGGACCCCAATATTTTATGTTCTCATCCCTGTGTCCTTGTGTTCTCCTTATTCAACACCCACTTGTGAGTGAGAACATGCAATGTTTGGTTTTCTATTCTTGTGTCAGTTTACTGAGAATGATGGTTTCCAGCTTCATCCCTGTCCCTGTAAAGTACATGAACTCACCCTTTTTTATGGCTTCATAGTATTCCATGGTGAATATGTGCCACATTTTCTTTATCCAGTCAATCATTGATGGACATTGGGTTATTTCCAAGTCTTTGCTATTGTAAACAGTGCTGCAATGAACATATGTGTGCATGCGTCTTTATAATAGGATGATTTATAACCCTTTGGGTATATACCCAGTAATGGGATTGCTGGGTCAAATGGTATTTCTATTTCTAGATCCTCGAGGAACCTCCACACTGTCTTCCATAATGGTTGAACTAATTTACACTCCCACCAACGGTGCTAAAAGCATTCCTATTTTTCCACATCCTCTCCAGCATCTGTTGTCTCCAAATTTTTTAATGATAGCCATTCTAACTGGCATGAGATGGTATCTCAATGTGGTTTTCATTTGCATTTCTCTAATGACCAGTGATAATGAGCATTTTTTCATATGTTTGC